CCATATCTCCTCCCTCTTGCATCTCCTTCCCACCCTCCCTATCCCACCCCTCTAGGTGGTCACTGCCCATTAATTTTTTTAGGAACATCACACCAGTGATGGGATCCATAATATCCCATTGGGTCAGGGATGAAGAATGACACTAATGAGTGAAGTTTTGCCACAGAAACCATAGATCTCTGTTGTGTTTTCCTTCTGGAGGTCCACTGGTTTCCAGTTGCAAGGCTATTTCACTCTTCTGGATTAGGACATGTGGTCCAGGCACAACCACCAACTCAGTGGTCCTAGGTGGAGGTCTCCTATCCTTCTCACCTACAGGAATATTTCCCTCCTGCCTCCAGCCGAGAGCCTTTCCTTGGGCAGTGACTCAGCCTCGTGCTCCAGTTCACTTTCCTTAACTCTTCCCTTGAGTCTTGGAGGACCCTTACTCACATTAATAGTCAATTAAGGCCTTTATAATTAGTGGTCTCAGTGGCTCGTTAGAGCCTATGGCCTTGATCACACTGCTCTGGGGAGATCATTGGATTATCATGGCAGCCGTGGCCTTTTGGATTGGATACCATAGCAATATGCAAAAGCACTTAGCAGTGAGACAGACCCCCCCCAGCAAGCAGTGCTCCTTCCGCAGATGGTGATACCCACCTGAGTTAGGTGGTTAGTAAGCAAGTTGCAGGTAAAGGGCATCCCATCCATTGATTGCAAGGGCGGTCGTGCAGTCCTGCCAACTACACCAATCGTTGTGTGCTGGTCTCAGCCTATAAATAACCAGTGCTGTGGCTGGACCAGCCCTTGCAGTTCTTATTACGATTGCAAGATGCCTTTCAGCAATAACCACCAGGAAACTTTGCAAAACTAAAGTTTTATTATTTACAGGACCTGCAAAGTGCACAGCCCACCTGGGGCCACACTACAAGGTCATGGGGAGAGAGAGAGAGAGAGAGAGAGAGAGAGAGAGAGAGCGTGCATGGGCCTGGGGTTCTGCTTTTATTGGGGTGAGGGGGTGTTAGGGTTTTGCAGGCTCGTTCTTTAGTGGTGAATTTAAAATATAAGGGCCAGAATTTAAAGCATGGGGAGAGGAAAAACAAGTAGCCCAAACGGTCAGTTATTGAAATCAATCCAGAGCTCTAAAACAAAGGAGCCTCAGTGCCTGGAGGTGGCCTGGCTCTTTATCTAGTCCTGTGGCTGGCAAGGTATTTATTTGAGATAGTCTGTCTTTGAAGTGGATGCCTCTTTGAATGGATGCCTCCGCAATCAAAGCTTAAGTCAGGCACTTGCACCGGAAAAACGGAGAAAACCCAACTGTCAGGACTTACTGTACAACCACTTAAGCCCGAAACCCTGTCCTGTTGTTTGCTGTCAGGTCTGCCTTTTCCAGCTGCCTCACCCTACCCCACCTGCAGCTTGGGACTTAGAAACGTGGGGAAGACACTTCTCATTTCCACTGCCCACTAAGAGCCTCTCACTCTTGGGCAAGATCCTCTTCCTCTGTGGGCCTCGGTATCCCAGCTCAGCTCCAGAGACCCCTCCCATACGGTGCATTAGGACCCTCGCATTTCTGGCTGGAATCAGGCAGACATCAGTTCTTTCCCTTCCTTGTTACTCCTTGGCTGTGGGACTGGCTCACACAGACCTCAGTTTTTCTGTCTTTCGAGTGAGTACAGCTCTGGGAGCATGGCTGGGAATTGCTTACCAGGAAAGGGCTTATCCCTGGACCTTCCAGAGGAAGGTAAGGAATTCTGAGAGCTGTGGGCAGCCCAGCCCGACCCTGCCTCACTGCTGTATCTCCTCCACAGGTGGAGTTTGCCATTAGCCGGGTCCAGATGAATTTTCTGCACCTGCTAAGCTCTGAGGTGACACAGCAAATCACCATCCACTGCCTTAACATGACCGTGTGGCAGGAGGGCACCAGGCAGACCCCAGCTAAGCAGGCTGTGCGCTTCCGGGCCTGGAACGGGCAGATCTTTGAAGCCGGGGGTCAGTTCAGGCCGGAAGTGTCAATGGATGGCTGCAAGGTAAGTCTTGGGGCCCCTTACAGGCCCCTCATGCGTAGACAGGTAGGAAAACGTGTTCTTATATAGTAACAATTTTATACTGTAGTATATTAGTATGATACATATAATGTTTACCTTTGAGTTTTATAAAATTGCTTTTATTTACTTTTCTCCCTGGGAAACTTCTGAGGGAAGGTCTGGGCTGGTAAAAATTCTACCAGCCGGTAGATGCTGTGCTTATTTACAAGGCTGCTTATAGAAGGATATATCTCTTCTCTTCTCTCTGCCCCTGCCCTGCCAGGCTAATTTCTTCTCTTAACATTCTGGTTGTCTTCAGAGGCCTAAAACAGGGTGGGTTGTAGGGGAAGAGGGAGACAGAAAGTCATCCAAAAAGCCAGTTTCACAAAATCAGACAAAACCAGTAATGCACAGTGTTACTGAGGATGAGGGGAAACCAACACTCTCACACAAAGCTATTTGGAAAAATTAAAACTAAATTGGTAGAGGCTTTCGGAACAGCAGCTACATGTATATTTCCAATATATATCCAAAGCCTTACAAATGTACCTATCCTTTGATCCCGCAAATCTTACTTCTAGAATTTGTTCTAGGGAAGTAATTAAGAATGTGCACAAAAGTTTAGCTACAGTGATACTCATGACCGCTTTTCTTTTAAGAATCAAACTGGCAGAAGCAATCTACATGGACAAATACAGGTCACTGAAACAGTGAAATGCCACGTGGACATTAAAAATTGTGAAGAAAGATGAGGGAGAAATGCACTCGATATATGATGAGAACTATGGTGGATATACATGTCCCCTTTTCCCTCTACCCGCAGGTCCAGGATGGCCGCTGGCATCAGACACTCTTCACCTTCCGGACCCAGGACCCCCAGCAGCTGCCCATTGTCAGCGTGGACAACCTCCCTCCTGCCTCATCAGGGAAGCGGTACCGCCTCGAAGTTGGGCCCGCGTGCTTCCTCTGACCTCTGACCTCATGGCTCCTCTCGGCCTCGAGGGGGCGGGGGGAAGAGGAGGGTACCTAGGGGCAGGGGGGCCCCTAGGAGAGGCAGCTCACCTGCCCAAGGATCCTTGAGCAGGACCCCAGCTGTTGTCTGCCCAGTAGAAGAGGCTGAGGGGCAGCAGGGCACGGGGTATCCTTGGGAACGACTGATCCCAGCTCAGCCCCAAAGACCAACCAAAGAGCCAGCCAGAGCAAGCTGGGCCCACAACCCGCCTGAGCCCCGCGGCCTGTCTCCCAGCTCTGCGGCCACCCCCTTCCTTGCCCAGCTTCCTTCCCAAAGAGCCCCACGTTCCAGCCAGCTTGAGGGAAGGGGGCATCTCGTCAGCTGGTCCCTGCCAGGGAGCTTTGATGTGCAATATTAGAGAGGAGACATGAAAAAAGGAGAAAAGGAAAGAAAGAAGTATATATATTTTATTTAAACAAACGCAAAGAAGGTGCGTTACTATTTTTTTTTTTCACCTGGGAAAGAGGTGAGAAGGTGAGAGAGAGCAGCCAGGGGGTGGGAAGTGATGGATGCTGAGAGGGAGAGGTGAGATCCTCGGGGCTGGGGGTGCCCATGTCTGCTACCTCCCACTGTGAAATCGCTGGTGCTCACAATTTTCTCGTAGTGTATGTGATTTTTTTAAGGAAAAAAAAAACCTATTTAAGATTCTGAAGGTGCTACCAGTTTTGCCACAGACTTTGAAGAAACATTTGGATGTGGGGTATCATCCACGTTTTTCTCTCTCCTCCAAATGACAAAGTTTGGGGAATTCTTAAAATTTTCCTAGCATCACCCTTGTGCTAATTGCATAATCTGTTATGGGGGTGGGGGAAGAAGGTAAAAGGAAGAAAAAACAAAAAGAACAAAAAACAAAAACAAAAAACAACCAGAAACAGAAGTAGAAAAGATTTACCTTTTAACTTACGGACTTTGAAATGCTTGTCCTCTTAAGGAAGGGGGAGGCCTGAGGATGAAGGATTTTAGTTTGGCCTTTCTTGGTCCTGGAGGGAAGTTAGGCTTGTCTTGGAGGGTGTGATCTAGACTGGAGAGTCCTGACCTTGCAGATTTGACCCTGAAGAAACCAATTAGGAGAAGGGCACTGGGTCAGGGCTGGCCTTGGAGGTGGGATGTAAATATGGACCCATCTCATGATGAAGCCACAGACCATCCCCTAAGGTCCTCCCTTCCTGGAGCTTGTCCTTCCAAGATGCAGTCATCACTCTTGCTTTTTCATTGTCATTCAGTTCTGTAGAAACCCAGCGCCAGCCATTAGCTCCAAGTATAAATGTGGGCTGAGGAGAAAGGCTTATTACGGGAATCTCCGAGTTGAGCGTGGCAGGGCTCTTCAGGGTAATCTGAATTGTCCTGCCTCAGCGAACCAGTCAGCGTCCAGGCAGGATTTTGAGGTCATTTTAACTATGGAATTATTTTTGTAGAAGGGGAAATTTTATGTGAAAGTCTATTTGTGTCTTTTTTTTTTCTAAAGTGTCTCTTTGGGAATTGGATTCGATTTTCATTATTTAATACCTCACTCTGGCCCACCCTCCCCTCCCTCCCACTTCCTGTCTCCCTCCCCCACCCCACCCACCTGCACGCTCCCTGGAAGTGTGTTTTTGTAGCAGCTCCGGCCTCATCTCAGCCCTCGGTCTCCCCAGCCACCAGTCTCCACCTGGCCTTTGTCCTGGCGTCTGTCTTGTTCTTGGGTTTCTCTGCTGTCCTTGTTCATGTCTCTGTCCACGTGTCAATGTGTTAAAACCCAAGTGGGTTCCGTTTCTCCTTTTCCCTTCTGGATTTTAAATAAATATTTAAAACTGAGGCAATGGAATGACACATCTGTGGCTGTGTGCTTCTTTGAAAAGGCCGGAGGGAAGTTTCTGGCAGGACTGAGGGGGTCAGGGGAAGAGGCTTAGAGGATGCCCTGTTTATGCTACTCCCCCTGAAGGAGGGACCCTAAAAGTGAGGGAGTGGGTCCCGTAGGGTCCCATTGGCCACTGTCCACAAACCTGGTGGCTTAAAACATCAGAAAGGCCTTCCCTCGCAGTTCTGGAGGCTGGAAGTGTGCTATAGACTAGAAATCCAAGTGTTGGCAGGGCCACGATCCCTCCGATGCCTCTAGGAGAGGTTCCTTACTCTGTCCTGAGGTGCCAGGCGGTCCCTGGCTAGCAGGGCAGCACCTCAGTCTCGGCCACTGCAGTCACATGATGCTCTCCCTGTGTGTCTCTAATCCCATCTATTTTTAAGGACACCAGTCATATTGGATGAGGGCCCACCCTAATGACCTCATCTTAACTTGATTACATCTGCAGAGACCCTATTTCCAAATAAGGCTGCCTTCACAGGTAATGGGGAAGCATATCTTTTGGGGGGACACAATTCAACCAATAACACACAGGGAGGAGGTATACTGAGGTTAACATGAGAGCCTCTTTTTTTTTTTTTTTAACTTGGTAAAATACACATAACATAAAACTGACCGTTAATGACATTTAGTACCTTCAAGATGTTACGCAACCATCACCACTGTCTACTTCCAGAACATTTTCATCATTTCAAAAGGAAACTCCGTACCCAAGAAGCCATCACTCCCTATTTCCGCCTGCTCATACCCCTGGAAAACCAGTAATCTGCTTTGTGTCGATGGCTTTGCCTACTGTGGATATTTCATATAAATGGAATCATACAATGTATGACCTTTTGTGAATGACTGCTTTCATTTAGCATAATGTTTTCAAGGTTCATCCTTATAGCATGGATCAATACTGCATTCTTTTTTATGACTAAATAGTATTTCATTTTATGGATAAACCAGATCTTGTTTACTCATCCTTCCGTTCATGACATGTGGGTTGTTTCCATCTTTTGGTGGTTAAGGATAGTGCTTCAATAGGAACAATTCTTACCTGTGAGATTCTTGAAAGAGGCCCCAACAATACCTGCTTTGGAAGTAGTGAGTGAGAATCTGGGAGACAGAGTTAACCAGAGTTAGTGAATAAATATACAAGACGTCCAGATAAATTTGAATTTCGGATAAACAACAAATATGTTTTTAGCATAAGTATGTCCCGTTCAATATTTGGGACATACTTAATACCTGCTGGACCTGAAACCCATATCTCCTGACTCTTGGTTCAGAGTACTTTCTTCCTTAGTTTGTTCCTCCTCCCTGGGACACTGGAGAAATCAGAACTTTTCCACCCTTCTCATCTAAGAGAAAGAAGAAATCACAAGCAGTTGCGCCCCGTTTTAAAAACGTGTTGTCGGGCTTCCCTGGTGGCGCAGTGGTTAAGAATCCGCCTGCCAGTGCAGGGGACATGGGTTCGAG